GAAGTACGAAAGGGGGCGGGGTGCCAGTGGTGAAGTATGAAGGGGGCAGGGTGCCAGTGGTGAAGTATGAAGGGGGCAGGGTGCCGGTGGTGAAGTATGAAAGGGGGCAGGGTGCCGGTGGTGAAGTACGCTGGAGGCGGGGTGCCAAATTTTATAATTCTTACTAATCCATACCCCATGCATTAATCGGTAATAATCCATAATGCATGCATTAATTTCTCCCAACTGGGCTCTTTCCTGGTCACCCCACTCGCTGAGCCTAGCAATAACAAAGACATTGGACAACAATGCCAAAATGAAGCTGGCCTGGGTCACCCACCAGGTATGGTAGGATGAGTGCCCTATGTTTATCTTGAATACTCAGAAAAGATAAACAAACTTTTCCTGGATGTACAGGGTGTAACTGGGTGCCATTATTGTCCAGATGGCTCCAGCAAAGCATTTACGCAGGATAAGTCAAGCTGTGCTCTTTGCCTGGTGACTCGCAGAGCTGATGAGAAGGTGGCGAGCTGTGATGTTCCCAGGCCCTTCTGGCCCTCACCCCACGTTCCGTCTACATTCTGCCAGACGTGGGCTGCTGTGTGATGGTAGATTGCTGGCAGGCGTCGCTCGGCAGGAGAACCGCTCACGAGTGCATGAGTGGACATTCCTCTGTCGATGACCTCAGCACCCAACAGCCCACGCACATTCTTCAGGAGGTTGGCGCATTCGATTCATTAGCAAAAGAACGGTGAAAAGAATGGGACCTCTGAAGGCATGGTAGACCATTAAAGAAAGCACTTTGACAAGATTGAGCCTGAACTTAGTTGTTTAACTATCAAATGATCATGTTTCTTATTGAAGTTATGGACTAGTTTTCAGAAGAGTGACAGCGTTGGGGTAGACTTACAAATAAAATTTTGCTTTTTGTCTATTACATCTTTCATGGCTGCACTTTCTGACCAGTTTCTTCTCAAAAGCCTTCCAGCTTTATGTTGCATTGTCCATAATGGTAGTGAGAATTACAATGACTGTTCCTCGATACCAAGAACGCAAAGATGGCACTTAAGGACCTGGCAAGACCAGTCTTGCTAACTTGCCTTCCAAGAATGTGGGGTGCAATGAATCATGGGATTGGTCTCATTTGGCGAGGATGCAACTGATGTATCCTTGATATTTGGGACGGGGCAAGAATGACATCCAAGCATTTTTACCATCCTCTGTACTTTTGTTTTTGAGTTTTGGAACTGGTCTTTGGCAATGGAAGATGATGTAAAACGGGTATGCAAGAACACAAGTACAGTCAAGTATGCATATTGACAAACACCCCTGCCGTTTTCTAAATATGGGGTGCAAACAGTCCATGGTAACAGAAGCAAGATCAAACCAGTGGGTCTGATTAGGATCTTCATTATCAGAATGTCATAAATGTACATGGTCCCATGCACAGATCTATTGAATGGTACCTTCTTCTTCAGGGCCTGTGGGTGAGAAGGGAGCCCCAGGAGAAAAGGGAGACTTGGGTGATCGTGGGCCTCCAGGAGCAAAGGGAGAGATCTCAAACGATGTCATTATAGAAGGTCAGGTCAAAAAGAGCATGCGGCATGAAATCGCTAAGCTAGAATGAGGAGCAATGCTGTGTAATCAACTAACCTCTGCTTGCCCCCCGAAAGGCCTCCCAGGTCCGGTCGGTCCACCTGGAGCTCCCGGTCCTGTCGGTCCCCCAGGACCCCCCGGCCCACCTGGCCAACCCCGAATCCGGAGCAGCAGGCACAAGTTGCAACAGGGTATTGAGCTCTGATGAGCAAGACAACAACTGTTTCTGAAACTGATAGCTGAACAAGAGTAAAACTAACAATACTGCTGTATGACTGAGGCAGGTCTCAATAAGAAATAAGATAAATAAGTTTCTTTCTCTTTTGAACTCAGCGATGTAGAGAGGAATATTAATGCAAAGGCTTTGCACTAGGGCTGGCAAGCTCTGTTTCATGGAATAGTACAATACCTGCCTTGTTTTTTTGCTATGTTGCTCTTAGTTACTGATTTAAAGCTGGAGTTGAAAGGTGAACCTTGATTCTAATTTAATAATACCTTCACTATGCAATCAAGAGCTTAGAACAAAGCTTATAGAAATGCTCTCAGATAGAACAAAAACCACCACACTCTATGAGCATCAATGGACCAGGGCTCCCCACTGTTCTTTTAAGCCATCTAAAGCCACAATGACTGAGATTACAGCAATGTTATGGCCTCAGGTTTGTCTCACTCTGCCCCAAATGACGATACCCTCTCTGGAAAAGTGGCTCAAAGTCTTACAGAGGCAGCTTTCAGGAAAGCAGGTAAAATGTCCATTATTTTAAGTGTGGTTTCAGTCACAGTTATGCACTGGCCTTCTTTCTGAAAGCTCTGTTTTCACCTGATAGAATGCATCATTAAATCCATAAGCAACCCCAGAAACGTCACCAAAATGGCAAACACCTTCGGGACGTGGATGCAGGACACAGCACTGCAAGATGATGAGCACATCTGGGTTGCAGAGCATTTCTCAGGTACATTTCTACACTCATTAATGTTCTCTCCATGATGTTTGCATGTATGTCAAACCATGTGCGGTACCTCCTGTGTGTTGTGGCTTGTTGCTTGGTTCACGTCAGGTCGGATGGTAAAGGAGTACAAGAGCATAGCAGCTCTCCAGAACAACACCAGCAACCCTGTAGATCTCAAGAAGTATTTCCAGGGCTGTGGCCACGTCTTACACAATGGTTCTATCTACTACCATGTTGCTGGGACCTCCAAAATCGCCAAGTAAGTGCCGGAGCTGCGTGTGGAATAATGTATCCTGAGAACTGGGCTTTTTGAGTTTACAAATTAAATTTCTAAACTAAATATTGTGCATATCATATAATCTTGAACATATTTAGAGCTTATTTCTTCACTCTGCATTTTTTAACAGGTTTCACATTCAAACCAAGATATTACACACCCTAACCATAGAGAATGCCCTCTACCACAGCCTAACCTATCTCCTTTCCAACTCTAAGACCTACTTCAAGCTGGCAGTTGATGAAAATGGACTGTGGCTTATATTTGCTTCAAGTACTGATGAAAACATAGTGGTGGCCCAACTGGATGAGAAGAGCTTCTCTGTCAGTATGTCTGTGAACACGTCCTACCCCAGGGCCAAGGCTGGTAATGCATTCGTAGCTTGTGGTGTTCTCTACATCACAGATGCTAAGGACACCAAGGTCATCTTCGCCTTTGATTTGCTGAAAGGGAAGCCGGTAAATGTGAGCCTTGAATTCAGATCATCGAGCGGCGTCCTGGCTATGATGTCCTACAGTCCGAAGAATCGGCATCTGTATGTTTGGGACAGTGGCTACGTGAGAGTGTACCAAGTGCATTTTTTCTCAGACCAGTGAAATCAGTCAGTACTCTCACACAATTTGAGTAAATGTATTTCATTTTATCATTTCCCTCGAAAAGCATCCCTGCCAAATGTTAGTTTGAACCAGAAAAAAGTTTTTTTTTTTTTTTTTTGGTAAAACGTTTATTAAAGTACAATTTTAGTCAAAAATATGGGAAAGAAATACGAGCAGATAAAAACTGGGGAGCCTCTGAGACAGATTGGTGGGACATTCGTAACACGATCAGTCTAAACACAAGGCAGTTAACAATGTTAAATTGTCCATAGACCGAATTATACACCCTTCATTGACTGTTCTCTAAACAAGGGACGCACACATTCATCCTGACTGGGAACATTTCCCCAGCATTAGCACCAGAACAACTCTGACAGTTGGACCCAAGATTTTCGGGGGGGGGGGGGGTACCTCTTGTCTGAATGCCTTGTTCCCTCATGACCCTCATTCTGCTTTTCCCCAACAAACAATACTGTGCCAAAGTCAAGGGAATTGTGTTTAAATGATCTTCAAGTTGGTGTAAAACTGTGATTTTATGTCTGTCAAAATGTGTTAGCTTAGCCATTCCAAAACCTCTCCCAAAGGCAACCTTGTATTTGCAGCGACCATCCGATACACCCATGAATTTGTTGACTCGACCGCTAGCACACCATGTTACGCCAATCGATACCTCATAAAGTTATTTAATTAAATTTATTTATTAAGTGAACTATTGGTGAAATGTAACAAATGCATGGAATGGCTGAGGTGCCCCTGAGGAGAGGATTGAGAACTGAAGCGGTGTTCATCTAGCCGTCCAACAAGATATCGGTAACTGTTTGGCGAACAGAAGAAATCCCTGTTAATTTTTTATTGTTACTGTTCATTTGCATATATTCCAATATAAAAATATAAACATTTTATTTGACAACCTAAGACTTTCACAGCTTATCCAGGAACATAGACAGTGTTAGCAAATACTCTGGAGGCTTTCAGACCTGCACCCATCACTGATCTTCTAATTACTTTAATCTTTATCATAGGACACTTCATCCTAACATAAACATCCATCTTGGGCATGACGGCTCTCCAGACCAGTGCTGAACAGTGCATTCCTATAGCTTTGGCTGGTGGTGCTCAAAATCACAGTTTATCTCCTGTTCTTCAGACACATTACATCCTAATGTGACGTAGTAATGCTCCTTGGGACAACTTTAGTACCATGAATTATCTTTTGGTTTTCTTACCGTTATCTTACATATAAAAAGAAAGGCCTTGGTAATCATCATGGAAAGAGACTGGAGTGTGTTTTGTCGAGGAAATATTGTTTGTATTATTACGATAAAAATTAAATCCTATAATAAGGATCTTAGCGGCAATGCTGCAATATTTTACATATCTGTGACATGAAAGTACTACCTAAAATTAACTTGCAGGATTCAAATTTGAAAATCAAAAATTGTTGAAAATCCGATGTAACATCCAACATTTTGCTGTAGAAAATCTGACTTACTGCAGTACTGTACATACACTATATGGACAAAGTATTGGGGCACCTGCCCATTACACCCACAGGAACTTTGATGACGTCCCATTATAAATCCATATGCATCAGTACAGGCTTGGTCCCCCCTCTGCAGCTATAACAGCTGCCACTCTTCTGGGGAGGCTTTCCACAAGATTGTGGAGTGTGTCTGTGGGAATTTTTGCCCATTCATCCAGAAGAGCATTTGTGAGATCAGATACTGATGTTGGATGTGAAGGCCTGGCTCACAATCTCCATTCTAGTTCATATCAAAGGTGATCAACCATATCTTTATGGACCTTGCTTTATGCACTGGGGCACAGTCATGCTGGAACAGAAAAGGGCCTTCCCCAAACTATTACCACAAAGATGGAAGCATAGAATTGTCCAAAATGTCTTGGCATGCTGAAGCATTAAGAGTTCCCTTCACTGCCTAGCCTAACCCCTGAAAAACGGCCCCATACCATTATCCCTCCACCACCAAACTTTACAGTTGGCACAATGCAGTCAGGCAGGTAACGTTCTCCCAGCATCCGCTGAACCCAGACCCGTCCATTAGACCGCTAGACAGAGATGCGTGATTCATCACTCCACAGAATATGTTCCTACTGCTCCAGAGTCCAGTGGCAGTGTGCTTTACACCACTCTATCTGACGCTTTGCATTGTGCTTGGTGATGTGAGGCTTGCATGCAGCTGCTCAGCCATGGAAGCCCATTCCATGAAGCTCCCGGCACACAGTTTTTATGCTGGAGTTCATGCAAGAGGAAGTTTGGAAATCAGCAGCTACTGAGTCAGCTGAGCACTGGTGAGTTTTACATACTATGCGCCTCAGCACTCAGCGACCAGCTCTGTTACTCCCAAATGGCAAGATGAATCTGAACCAGATCTGGGCCAAATGTTGTTCAGGAAATGCTGCAGATGTGTAAACCGGATCTGGCCCAGTGTTATTTTGGACAATGGACCAATACTGGTACAAATCCGCTTTCTGGATTGGAAACAGGGCCATATATGGGTCAGATTTACATTCAGTGTTACCAAATCTGGACTGCATTTGCACCAGAGTCAAAAGTTAAATTCAGATCAGGCTCCAACAGAAGCAGCGAGTGGCTTGGTGGGCTAAGTCTCTCTGCCTGTGATCAGAAGGTTGCTGGTTCAAGCCTCAACAGAGGACTCCACTTGTTAGCTAGCCCTGCACCGTGACCTCCCCAAGCTATGGGGAGTAAGATGGGGTCAGTGAAGGGAAGCATCCCAATGTACTTGTATGAAGTGTGGCTCCAACTAATTTTTTTCCAGACTGACTGCCGACTAGTTCTGCCCCAGAATCCTACCTTGACACATGTAGGCACCGAGTGGCTCAGTGTGCTCAGTCTATGTGCTTGTGAGCAGAGGGTTGCTGGTTCGAGTCCTGGCCCTCGTAGGTTGCTTGCATATCTGTGGGCCCTTGAGCAAGGCCTTTAACCCCCATCTCTGGGGATGCTGCATGCTGTCTGAATGCCAAGCTATGGGGAACAACATGGGGAGGGTGAAGAGGAATATAACTGTGCAAATAAAAGCTTAAGGTCTACTCCAGGACCCTGAGTTAGGGTCCTGGTATACACTCTTTAATAAAAAAAGTTTTATTTATTTCTCCCCCCCAGCTACACTTGAATGCATCTGCTTCACAAACTACACAGCTTGGAGGTCAGGACACATCCCCAGAGATGGGGGTTAAAGGCCTTGTTCAAGGGCCCGCAGACATGTGACCAGTCCACCAGGGCTGGGGCTCAAACCAGCAACCCTCTGCTCACAAGCACAGAGACTGAGCACGCTGAGCCACTCACCACCCACATATGTTAAGGGAGGATCCTGGGGCAGAACTAGCCGGCAGTCAGTCTAGAAAAAACTGAGTTGGAGCCACATTTAACAAACAAAAATGTTTTATTTGCACAAGGACACATACATTAGAATGCTTCCCTTTTATTGACCCCATCTCACTCTCCATAGCTTGGGGAGGGGGGGGGGGGGGGGGGGAAGCAGGTCACAGTGCAGGGCCAGCTAACAGGCAGTGCCCATTACTGAGGGCAGGGTTCAAACCAGCAACCTTCAGGTCATAAGCACAGACACTTCACTTCACGTCACTGAGCCTCTCACTGCCCCATTTGGGCAATATCTGAATCTTAACCTGTGAATGTGGTGCAGATACAGGCCAGATCCAGTTTACGGATCTGTAGCGATTTCTGAACAACATTCAGCCCGGATTTGGTTCAGACTCATCTTGCTTCAAACTCTTAGCGCATAAGCTGTGCATCTGGTAAGTGATCATACGTATACAGTATGGTCAGACGAATGCACGCCAGATCTTCAGTCCAAATTGTGTTCCTTGGGCTCCCGTTTCCTGTCCACAACATCAATTTTTTTTTTTCTGCGTGCCAGTCCCGCCTAGTGCGGCTTCTGGCCGCTACTCCCACCGCGCAGCAGCGTAACGTGCGTACTCCCAGCATCCTAGCTCTTTGTACTTGCGTATACCCTTAAAATGATGTTGAATAACGACTTACGAACATTTCAAGTTACGAACGGCCGTTCTCAACGTATCTCATTCGCAAGTAGAGGAGCAGTTTCCTCTGGGATTAATGAAGTTTTCTGATTCTGATTCTGAATAAGGGGAACCAGTTCTTGCACTTGCTTCTGCTGTCTAGCTTGCACCTGACCAGTCATGTGACCCATGGGAGGCCGTCTACACCAGTGTCTTAAGCTCAGGGGGGATGATAATTCCCCCAGCCTGCAGCGGCAGGTGCCCTGGGCTGCTTCTTCTGGGTGGTATCTGCTGTTGTGACTGCGTGCGGGGGGGGAGCGTAAAGCTGGCGCTTACGTAACACACTATCACCGAGGTTTAGGCTAGCATTCCATGATCCCGTGAGCCCAGCTCTGCGGGAAACCTGCTCTTTCAGGGCCAGAATCTTTTGCTTAGTTTCCTATAATAACTTTCTGGCCAAGTTTATATGTGAAATATTTGCCCGTTACATTACTGTAATAAAGAATATGAAAAATATAATAAACAGAATACATATATTACTGTTAACAGACAATGTAAGTCTGTTGGCAGCAATGGTTAAAGGATACAATACAGCCATTTATACAGGAAAAATGGAGTGACTTCAGTTAAGCATATTGCATGATGTAAACTGTAAGGTAACCCTAACCCTAGCTCTGACCCAAACCCCTAAGCCTAACCTTAACCCTCAAGACAGCCTTAATGCTAATCCTAACCCTGATGGCAACCCAAACTCTAAAACTAACCTTAACTTCACACCGCTAACACCAATCCTAACATTAATCTCAGCAGTAATCTTACGGCAATACTAACTTATTGTTAAAAAGAGTCATTGCAGAATACACCACATTCAAATTTTTAGTACTGTCTCCATATTTGTTCATCATTACACAAAAATTTCAGCATAGTCTTAACTTTGTCATTAATTACTCGTAATGCTCATCTAGACATATTTGGGTGCCCATGACACATAAATAGAACATGTTCTATGTTCCATATTGACCATTATGTGTTGAGCAGGACATGAAGTCAAACCCATAGAAATTATGACTGAAAGCCTCAGCTGGAGCTAGAGCCTAATAGGTTCCTCATTTTCAGCTCTCACTTCCAGAGACAAAGTTTCACCCAATGCAAAACCCCACCCAATGCAACCCCACCCAACACAATGCCACTCTACACAACCCCACCCAACGCAATGCCACTCTACACAACCCCACCCAACGCAATGCCACCCAACGCAACCCCACCCAACGCAACCCCACCCAACGCAACCCCACCCAACGCAATGCCACCCAACGCAACCCCACCTGACGCAATGCCACCCAACGCAACGCCACCCAACGCAACCCCACCCAACGCAACCCCACCCAACGCAACCCCACCCAACGCAATGCCACCCAACGCAACCCCACCCAACACAATGCCACCCAACACAACCCTACAAGCACAGATATCACAGGACTCACTCACCTGGAGATGAACCATGTTTGCAGTGCCCACCACTAGTTTAACGTGAGGACATTTTCAGCACCTCCGTAACAAATCCCCCCCAATAACACTCAACATTACTGATCATAAGGAACTAAAGTGTGTCTGTTCTGTTGCAGATGGATTAAACTGCATGTTCAGTCATTGGGGCATCATGCTATTTTGGCCCCTGAGGACCTTCTGAGCTTCTGAGCTTTACACCTTAAGCTCTCCGGTTCTCGTTTTTCCAGAAATGTGGACTGTTCGTCAGGGAGCAGGGAGGGACCATCTGTGGGTGCCCAAGGACTGGCTTGGGAAACACTGCCTTAGCATACTGAATACAACATACGAGGTTCTCCACATGCAGATATTAGACCTTATGACTCGCAACTAGTCATTTCAGCCTCA